AGTCAAAATGGGGGGTCACTACACAAGGGCATTAATACCAGGTAGTGAGAATCATGAGGGTCCATCTTTGAGGCTGGCTACGAAAGTATTTTAATAATGTTCAAGGCTCAGAGAAATTCTTCTCCACATCTCTTTCTTATAACCTCACATCTGAATACCATGAAGTTTTGTAGCTGGTACCACTGCCAACATTAGAGACGGAATGAGATTGTGATGAGGACTGAGCAGGCAGTAGAAGCACTTCGGTTGAGGAAAGATGAATTTACTTATCTAATTCTCCTTTTAGTATGAATGCAATAGGCTCTTGTATAATGAAGTACTGCTTCAAGTAATGCAAACCTTCTATTTTCTTGCTTCTCTTTGTGTTCTTTGTGTTCGGCTTCAGAGGTAGTAGAACTAGTGCAATATTTGCAATAGCTGAGACTGAGAAATTCCCAGAGACTGAGAAACATTTTGTATTATTAAACAATTCATATTACTCTTAAATTTTGTATGTCATAGGTATAGAAACAAAATTCATGAAGCATGATAAAAATTGTTTATGTAGGCAGCTAGATGGATAGGAAATTGTAGAATTATGCAGTTTTAAAAAGATATTTAATTAGATTACAGTAAAAATGTTAAAGTAAATATAAAATTTTAAATTTATTTAACTAATATTGATTATTCATTGATTATAATTTTCAATAGAGAATTGAAAGCAGTAGAAAATCTTCAAAAAGATTATTTCCTTAAATTCTTAAAATCTAGAAACAGTTTGAGTACTCTTACATTGAGCATTACCACATAGTAAATTCTGCAAATAGGACTTTATTTATAGGAGATTTGATTACCAATTATATTAGTTTTCTATCTGTTGCTACATAACAAATACCACAAACTTAGAAGCTTAAAATGCACCCCTTAATAAATCTCATAGTTATCATCAGTCAGCAGTCCAGATACTACTTAACTAGGTCTTCTGCAGTCAAAGTGTCAGCTGCTGCATTATCATCTGGACGCTTGACTGGGGAAGAGTTCACTTCCAAGCTCATTCAGGTTGTGAGAAGAATTCATTTCCTTGAGGTTGTAGAACTAAGAGGCGCTGGCTCTTTGCTGGCTTTTGGCTATCGTCCAACTTCAGGTCCTATGGACTGTCCACAGTTCTAGAGGTCATTCACAGTTCCCTGCTGTGTGGCCTCTCCAACACAGCTGCTTATTTCATCAAACTCAGGAAGACTCTAGCTTCAGGCTGCTAAGATGGACTCTTATATAGTATAACATAATCACATCATTGGCATCCCATTACCTTTGCTCTATTCTATTTGTTAAAAGAAGCAAGTCATAGTCCCACCACACACAGAGGGAGGGTATCATACAAAGATGTGGGCAACAGGAATCATTAGGATTCACCTCAAAATCTGTCCACTACATTGATCAAACAGTGGAAATGAGGAAGAACATTATTCATAACTTGAAGAGATCAAGTGAAATCCCTGAAATGTCATATTCTTTACAAAATAAAATTTTACAACTGATCAAAACAATGAAAATGTAAAAAAGAGACTTATGTTCACAGAAGTAACAATGCAACTCTGGCATGCCATTTATTTACTTGTTTATTTGTTTGTTATTGAAGTATAGTTGACACAACATACAGTGTTGTGTTAGTTTCAGGTTTATAGCAAAGTGAATCAGTTATACATATATCCACTCTTTTTTTTGGCTATCGTCCAACTTCAGGTCCTATGGACTGTCCACTCTTTCTTAGATGTAATGGCCTATATAGGCCATTACATAGTATTGAGTAGAGTTCCCTGTGCTATACAGTAGGTCTTTATTAATGATCTATTTTATATATAGTAGTGTGTATATGTCAGTCCCAGTCTCCCAGTTTATCCCTCCCCTCTTTCCCCTGGTAACCATAAGTTTGTTTTCTATATCTGTAACTTGATTTCTGTTTTGTAAATAAGTTCATTTGTACCATTTTCTTAGATTTCACATATAAGTGGTATCATATGATATTTGTCTTTCTCTGTCTGACTTACTTCACTCAGTATGACAGAGAAGATGATTATTACATTCATGAAATTGGCAAGTTGGGCAAAAAGGACAAAAACTCAAGCTTCCCTATGGATGATTATCCTGGAAAATGGCCATTATATCCTTTGGTAGTAGGAGGATATTTCTAAGAGAACACAGTTTGATTAAATTAGGGGTTATAATTTTCCACTAAGTAAATATGAGAGAAAATTTAGTGTTTCATTTTGCAACAAATTCTATCAAGTGGAGAAAGAAATTGTAGAAACTGTGTCATTTGTATTCCAAGTTCGAAGGCAGAGTGTTTTGTCACTACTCTTCCCTATTTCACAACCAACCTTTAAGATCATTTTTTTTACAATGAAGATATATGGTTGCAAATACTTAGGTTTATTTTATTAAAGGAATTCAGAGCTTTACCTGCAGTAAAAAAAAAAAAAATGCATATAGTTGCCAAAATTGAAATAACAACTGAATAACATTGTACAAGCAGTGACATATTTAACAATATAAAACATTGGCATGATTTTCTTCAGAAGAAAATATATGTCCAATATGTAGCCAAATATAATGATGCTTTTTATGGAATTAACTGTACTATATTTCATGAAACAAGAAAATGTAGGAATTATTTCAAATATTGATGACACGATGGTCAACATGTAAGATGGGTTAAAACAAAAAGATATCTCTATCTAGAATAGAGAGTTAAAAATGAACTGCTTAATGCATAGTAAAGTGAGAGGAGAAATAATACATAAAAAATGTTAAAGTAGGTGTATTCTCAGTTCACCTAAATTGTTTCGGGGGCAAAGTGAAGTTGAACAGCTAATATTTATTATACGTATTATTGAACTACCAAAAGAATAGGAAGTTGAAATCAATAAGTACTTATTTTGTTGTTTTTATGCTGGTTGTAGAAAATACAGGCTTTGTGATAAGTGGAGAACTAATCACGGTTCTCTCCCTTCTCCTAGCAGGGAGAAATCACTAGTTGTGTGGGATGCTGAACTGGAGAGCAGCTCCTCCCACTGGATGAGGGTGGGGGGCCAGTCGGTCCCAAAGAGCACATTCTCTAGGCAATCCTGAGTGAGTCCCCAAAGATGTTTTCAGCACTCCCACTCCTTGTTCAGACCAATTGTTTCCTTGTTTTTTGAGAAAAACTTTATTAAGATGTAATGTACATACCATAAAATTCACCCCTTTAAAGTGTACAATTCAGTGGTTATTAGTATATTCATAGACTTGTACAGCCATTGCACTAATTTTAGAACATTTTCATCACCTCAGAAAGAAACCCAACATTGTTAAGCAGTCACTCTCCAATTCTTCACCACATCACCAGGCCTCAACAACCACTAATCTACTTTCTACCTCCATAGATTTGCCTATTTTGAACATTCCACATTAATGGAATCATGTAGTATGTCCCCCATTCTCTATTATTTCACTGGGGTTTCTGGAAAACCTACTTATGATCCATCTAAAAAATCAATCATCTCTTATGTTTCAGATTTATTACAGTATTTTTCTTTTACTTTTTCCATTACCTGTGTATCACAAATACTTTCAAATACCCATAATAATTCACACTGAATGGAATGATGTATTGCAGATTTGTGAGCTTATGGTCAACAGGATTTGACTTCCAAGGACAATGAGAGCAAAATGCCTGCCTGAATTTCAACTGACTTTGAAGGGGGTATGGCTGCAATATGTTTGACTATACAGATGGTTTTTGCATTATCCTCTGATTACAAAATAAGAAAAACCACTCCTAGTACGAGTTAACTATGTCTTAGAAACATCATATCTTTTTTTCCATTGTTAAACCACCTTTTCAACTTAGCCCATTTGTGTTTATACTAGTGAACGAGTGATTATTGGCAGTCTGTTGAACACATAATATTTAATACTGACTTGCCTAAATAAAAGATTATAAAAATCTAATAATATACTTTATTTTGTTAGCCTTAAAAGTTTTTAAAACTGAGTGTTGTCAAAGTGTTCATAATAAGTATTATAAAGAATTTTGTAAAGTAGCCTTTTAAAAAGGGAGCTTTGAAGTTGATAAACTCAATGGTAAATCTCTCGAGAAAAACTTTGAGTATATAAAGCAAGAGTAACTGAGTAATTGAGTTATTTTACAATAGAATTTATAATGAGGAAGTGTGTTAATTTACTGTCCTTCACAGTTTTACTGTAGAATTCTCAATAGACCTTTGGGAAGCTTATATTTCAATCTCACTGCATTTTGTATTTACAATATTTATGTGCATTTTCCCTTTTCTTAAATGACGTTTTTACATGTTGTATTGTATCTTGGAATGGTGAGTTAAAGTGTTTAATATAGCATGGTAGAACGAGCACTGACTCTGCAATCAGACTGCCTGCATTCCAAGCTCAGTCCCACCCAACATTAGTGGGTGCAAGTGACTTAACCTCTCTGTGCTTTAACTTCCTCAACTATGAAGTGAGGATATTAGTACTCATTGATTTGACCTACTGTGAAGATGAAATGAAGTAGTGTATATATAATAATGTGTATAAAGCCTTTAGCCAAGGTAAGTGTGCTAAGCATATGCTAAATATTAATAGTCATTTCATTCTCTGTGGTGTGTGTATAGGAACAGCATGAAATAGTGCACAAAACTAACGGATTGGTCAGCTGGAAATCTTGGTTCTGTTTCCTCTCATTCAGTGATTCTTTACATAATGGATAGCAAATATCTATTTTCTCCAGCTTAGCTTTCTGTATATATTGAGTGGCATGTAAAATAATTTTATAAACTATAGAAATAGTGTACTTAAAATCAATTAAGTGTTATGTAAAACAAATACACATTTTTGTTGCACTATAATTTATAGGTTAGGAAATAAATATTTCCTATTACTAAGTTCCTTATCAGAAAACACAGCAAAAATGAATTCTTTATCTATTTTGGCTTTAATAGCATTTCTTTCTTTTTCCTTTGGGCCAGGGTTTTCCAGGTGGCTTTGGAGACAGAGGCCCTGCAGGTCCTGATGGCAGTCCTGTGAGTAAATTGTGATGGTCCACTCTTGCAGTCTAACATCACTCAAGACTTCATAGCAACTGTACTTGCCATTCTCATTATCACATTCCTGACAAGCACTCTTGGCCAGAGAGTTTTGATACCACTGAGCACATTCCACTTTGTGGTTTTACAGCATAGGAAACAAGACAAAAGCGTTATAAATTCTGTTTTGAGAGATAATCATTAAAATTAATTATTTTGACCATGTTAAACATGACTGATTATTTAAAATATTAGAAGTATGCAATCACGATACTGACTTGTATATTTGTGGGGAGGGGCATGGGGAAAAAAGCCTTTCATGTACATCAAGGTACTAACAAGCCTCATGTAAAAATTGTGCATTTGGTGATTGCTCTTTTGGACTCAAACCTGTCATTGATCTACCTTACTTTTCAGTATTTTATAGAGAAGTCTTTTGGGGGGATTGTTTAGATATCTATGTTCAGATTAGGGAGTTAAAATTCTAAAATTAGTTTAATTATATTATCAAAGGATGATGATGGAATGCTATTTTTTGACACTAGGCAGAAATGTCTTTACTTTTTACCCTCAAAAAATGGCTATCCCCCGATATATGTCATGTACACATTCTTTTCATAAGATTTTTAAGGTGAATTAGAATCAGCTACTAAATCCTTGGATCATAAATTAGGAATAGTTCCTATATTTAGACTATGTAAATTATTAGCATTTATGCTTAAAATAAAGTGTTTGAAAATAGTTTCTTTTTTTATTTTTTTCTAAATTATAACTGTATTTTATTCAGTGAATTTAGCAAAAGTTTTATTTGTTATAAGGCTTGGAAAATAAAATAAGAGTAGAACTGATTTCCAAACAAATTGTTAAAAAGTTGAATCATGTCTTAAGTAGAATGTTTACCATCTTATTCTTGCCCATGATTCTGGGGAGCTTCCCATTTCAGGCATAATAAAGTAAAGCATTATTTACATTTTTTCTTTAATACCATCTATGTCCTTGCATACCTAGTGTGAAGCCATCTTATTTAATGTTTTGTCAGTTAAATATACATGAAGTTCGTTAGGGTTGGACTCCTAACAATATTTAAAAATTTTCTCTTTGAAGTCTGCTGCTTATATTTAAAATATAATACTTCTGGAAGAGCATTTGGAGTCTTCTTTAGAATGCAAGAATAAATTGGATATTTTCAGTTTATTGGTTTATTATTCTCTATATTTTATACTGTACTTTTGTTTCAAAACAGAATTTGAAATGCAAAAATAAAGGGAGGGTGTATTCTTACACTTTGTACCCTGTAAATGATGTAACTCTGACATGGAGTAGATTAGGAATTATCACAAAGACTGTAATGATGAGTCTAAGACTGTCACAAAGACCCATCATGAATCAACTGGAAAAATTAATATAGATAATTTAAAATCTCATACAAATAATTTAACAAGGTTGCTAATTTCTTACATTTGTATAGTACTTTAAGAAAATTTTCAAAAGCTCATATATATATATATTAGAGTTTTATTATTAACTGTAATAATATATATATTACAGTTTTAATTCTTTACAAAATGAAAACAAATATTACTATTTCAGTTTCATAAATGAGAAGTTTAGAGAATTTAAGTAATGTACTTCAAAAGAGCTGATAGTGTTTTAAATCATCTGAAAATGTTCTTCTCACCTGACATGCTGACCACTTGTCTTTTCATACTACATATAGGCTAATTATGTTCATAATGCTGATTATTAATGGGATTCACTTCCTTTATTAGATACATAGGAGACACAGAGAAATCTATATCCTAGGCTAGGTGGTAGTCGTAGTATCTAAAAGCATGAAGCCAGGGCCACTTTTAAAGAATATAAGCTGCCACCAGAGGTTTGCACTTCTTAGGAGGATGCATAAGAGTAGGGAAGTTGCAGAAGTTAGCTAAAAGAAGGTAAATTTTGATATATGTTTTCCCAGAAATTTTTGTCTTCATCTTTAGAAAATACCCTTAGTAGTTTGGAATCATATTTAACCAATTTTGCACATTTCTCTTACTTAGGGACTTGTAGGTAGCACTGGTCCTCCGGGATTTCCTGGGCTTAGAGTGAGTATCAGATATCATCCTTCTTATCAAATATTTTTGTGTGTATTTATATTTGTTAGATGTGTTTTTAAAACTTTACAAAAATGAACAGTTTTAGTGTCATTGTTGAATATCAACCTTGCTCACATGTATTTCTCCACCAGATATGCAAATTAGACCAGTAGTATGAATTTAAAAATTAATTATACTTTAGGATACACTGAAATAACAAATTTCTACAGGTTGATGTGTATGTGTATTTGTCTTAAGGATACTTAATCAAGACTCAGTTTCTCCAGAAGTGTAAGACATAGAATAGCCACTTCTTTCCTTTGAGACAGTCTTTCATACCATCTGGTCTAGAGAGGCAGGTAGGTCTAAACAAAAGCACATGATAACAGTAGGCTTTATGAAATAAAATTGAATAAATGGTTAGGAAAACCATCCTGGACAAAAGGTAGGAGCTGGACTTCACCAGTGCCATTAAACGTTTTAATACCTAACTTATTCATTGTACTTAAAAAAAGTGACTATATTATTTGTTCACTTAGTCAGTTTTTATACAGTGAATTCAACTCTTGAGTTTCACTGAAGTTTCTGATGTCAGCAAAGTACAGTTTAAAAGCGATTCTGTGGAGGCCAAAACAATGTAGTCCAGATATGTAGCTCTCTGATAAATTTTTGATTATTCATTGGAGTAAACAGACTGTTACTTTTGATATATCTTCATAAATATATTTCTCTCATCCAAGCTTCTGGTTCATGACAGGAAGTAAATTACAGATATTTTAGATAAATTTAGAGCCATATGCTTTAACATTGAGCTAGCTAAAGATAAGATTGACATACTTTTATGACATGTAAGGAGCCTAATGAAAATAGAATCTTTAAACTATTTCTATCCATCTAAAAGTAGGGCGTGACCATTGGCAGAGGTAGGATTTTCTTTAAAAATCAATTTAGGGCTTCCCTGGTGGCACACAGGTTAAGAACCCGCCTGCCAATGCAGGGGACATGGGTTCGAGCCCTGGTCCGGGAAGATTCCACGTGCCACGGAGCAACTAAGCCCGTGTGCCACAACTACTGAGCTTGCGCTCTAGAGCCCACAAGCCACAACTACTGATCCTGCGTGCCACAACTACAGAAGCCCACGCACCTAGAGCCTGTGCTCCACAACAAGAGGAGCCACCACAATGAGAGGCCCACGCACCGCAACGAAGAGTAGCCTCTGCTCACCGCAACTAGAGAAAGCCCGCGCGCAGCAACAAAGACCCAACGCAGCCAAAAAATTTTTTAAAAATTAATTGATTAATTAAAAAAATCAATTTAGAGCTTGCTCTATTATGTGAAGTAGGTAATTAAGACTCTAGAGTTTTGTGCCATAAATTATAGCTATGGTATTTTTAGCTTGAACTTGAACACAGGTCCTCTGACTCCAAATTTAATGTTGTTTCCCCACCTTAACTGCCCCAAGTCAGAAGGTGGCAGCTAGGCCAAAGGAGTAAGTCAGGAGTTCAGTTATTGGAACTGTGGTAAAAATCATCATGAACTGTGGTAAAAATGGTAAAAATCAACACGATTTAACTTGCCCATTTGAGATGGCAAGAATATAGAATAAAGAGTTAAGGAACCTGAGTAAGTCTAGGACATTTAAAGTTTTCTCTTTCATAATAATATTAGTATAGTAATTATAATAAAATCAGCAATAACAGCTCACTTTCATTTAGTATTTTCTATGTGCTAGTCACATGGGTTAGGTCATTTAATTCTCAGAACAACCTAAGACCGCTTAGCTTATAAACGTTGAGCCCGGATTTGAAGCCAGATGACATACATCCAGAGTCCAAAAGTCTCTCTATTGTGCTATACCACCTCCTTAAAACTTACAATACCTTAAAATATATACTATCTTAAGAGATTTCTTTAGACGTCATGAGAAGCTCTATGTGAAGGTGGAACCCAAAGAACCAACTTTTTTTCTCTGAACTTAGAATAGGGCTAAACCTGTAAGTGGTGGTCACTGGTCCTATCAGTGGGGAGAGACAGGAAGTAGGGGAAGAGAATTGGACTCCAAAGATACTCTTTGTGCATTCTTGATTTAACCTATTAGCATTCAATTGGTTAGCTCCAAAGTTCTGTTATTATGCTTAAGATCAAGACCAAAATTCTTAACATGGTGGTTCTTCTCTGCATCTTGAGAACATACTCTGTGCACTAGCAAAGCTGTTTGTTCTCAGATGTCATGCAGCCTCCCTACCACATGGCCTTTGCACCCGTTTGTCTACCTGAAACACTTTACCTTTACTTTTCTGACTAATATTTAACTCTTACTCATCTTTCAGTGCCAGGACTTAAAACAGTTTCTGACACATAATAATGCTCAGTAAAAATGGGCATTCTGTCCTTTCCCTTTCTCCACTCACTCTTCGGTAGGTGTGCAGAGATTCTACAGAAATGAAAATGGCTAATGACGCTAACAGTCATTTTTGTAGTCATCATCTCTTCTGTAGTGACATAGATGGTACTTTATACTTTTCAAAGTACTTTCACATGTGTATCTCATTTGTAAAGTAGGTAGAGCAGGTATTATTACTTCCTCTATCCTATATTTATTAAAAATTTTAATCAAAATAATGTGAGCACCTACTGTGTATCAAATGCTGAATTAGATGCTAGACCTAAAATTACAAATTAAGATTTCTGTTTTGGGCAGCTTTATAATCTAATGGCAATATCATACAATATGATTACTGCTATAATGGACTAAAGTAAAGCCACTGAGAATGGAGCAATTTGTGTTATAGCAGAAAGTCAGAATACGCTTCACAAAGGAGATGTCTTTTAAGCTGTTCTGAAGATTATATCTGAGTGGTGGTGGACTGGAAAAGGGAAAAGGGCTCTTAGGCAGAAGAACGCTGTATTCAAATGCACAGAAGAGGGGGAAACTGGAATGTTTGGGAAATGAAAAGAGGAGTAGCAGCATGGCAGCCTAGGAAGTATGGGGTGATGGGAGCAGAATGGAAGGAGGTGAGGTTTTGTAGACAATTGAGAAAGATTATGTGAACTTTTGTGTTTCCTAGTAAACAGCTTATCTGTTTGCCCAGAACTACAGCCTCTGCTTTATCTCTCAGGTGTTCCCTTCCAGCAGGCATAGTTTCTGACAAGAGATGATACTGCTTTCTTTAAATTATTTTTTTCCATGCAGTTGATTCTTATTCTCATTTGGTTTCTTAATTAGTGACAGTGATTATCGCCTGTGAGTGGGTGGGAATGGTTGAAAAGCCCAATATGGAATTCAGTCTTTTCCACTATGTGTTCACTCATGCACTGTGATTGGCCAGTGGCTGCCGTTTTGCACAAAGAACCTCTCCTTGGGTCTCTCTGTTTCTTTGACTGACTTTGACTCAAAAGTTCTCTGTTAGTTGTCACTGTGTGGGAGGCTTTTTTGCCTCTGTTGCTATATCCCTGACACCCTCAGCTAAACTCTTACACATGAAATTATTCCTTCTGTCTATTCCATCTTCTTATGGAAGAGAAGTGTGGTAGGTAGGTAGTGCTGAAGGACTTTCAGGTTATCTTTGTGGAACTGAAAACAGCTATTAACCTATCATGGATCACTTTCAGAGGGCTATAGTTTTTTAGGAATAGGATTTTCCATGCAACTTGTGACATGCCACAAAATGTCTTATGTTGCTTGGAAGTTTCTATACCCATACCATTTTACTTTCTAATTCTTCATTTTTCTAAGTCTTTTATAATGAATAATTTTTTATTTAATAGATCTTTCTTGGAGTATAATTGCTTCACAATACTGTGTTAGTTCTGTTGGGGATATCCCCAACAGAATATGGGGATATCCCCGTATCCCCTCCCTCTTGAGTCTCCCTCCCACACTCCCTATCCCACCCCTCTAGGTGATCACAAAGCACCGAGCTGATCTCCCTGTGCAATGCTGCTGCTTCCCACTAGCTAACTGTTTTACTTTTGGGAGTGTGTATATGTTGATGTTACACTCACTTCGCCCCAGCTTCTCCCTCCCTCTCCATGTCCTCAAGTCCATTCTCTATCTCTACGTCTTTATTCCTGCCCTGCCACTATGTTCATGAGTACCATTTTTTAATTTTTAGATTTCATATATATGCATTAGCATATGGTATTTGTTTTTCTCTTTCTGACTTAATCACTCTGTATGACAGACTCTAGGTCCATCTACCTCACTACAAATAACTCAATTTTGTTTCTTTTTATGGCTGAATAATATTCCATTGTATATATGTGCCACATCATTATCCATTCATCTGTTGATAGACATTTAGGTTGCTTCCATGTCCTGGCTATTGTAAATAGTGCTGCAGTGAACATTATGGTACATGTCTCTTTTTGACTTACGGATTTCTCAGGGTATGCCCAGTAGTGGGATTGCTGGGTCATATGGTAGTTCTATTTTTTGTTTTTTAAGGAACCTCCATACTGTTCTCCATAGTGGTTGTATCAATTTACATTCCCACCAACAGTGCAGGAGGGTTCCCCTTTCACCACACCCTCTCCAGCATTTACTGTTTCTAGATTTTTTAATAATGGCCATTCTGACCTGTATGAGGTGATACCTCATTGTAGTTTTGATTTGCATTTTTCTAATAATTAGGGATGTTGAGCATATTTTCATGTGCCTCTTGGCCATCTGTATGTCTTCTCTGGAGAAATGTCTGCTTAGATCTTCTGCCCATTTTTTACTTGGATTGTTTGTTTTTTTGATACTGAGCTCCACGAGCTGTTTGTATATTTTGGAGATTAATCCTTGGTCCGTTGTTTCATCTGCAAATATTTTCTCCCATTCTGAGGGTTGTCTTTTTCATCTTGTTTATGGTTTCCTTTGCTGTGCAAAAGCTTTGAAGTTTCATTAGGTCCCATTTGTTTATTTTTGTTTTTATTTCCATTAGTCTAGGAGGTGGGTCAAAAAGGATCTTGCTGTGTGGTTTATGTCAAAGAGTGTTTTTCCTATGTTTTCCTCTAAGAGTTTT